AACTTCTTCCCAGCACTCGGCTGCGGTGAGGGGAGGATAGAAGTAAGGTGAGCTAGCCAACGCCTCGTCAAGGCCCCATGCCCCCATTTGTGCTAGGGACACCGGCTGTTTGGCTCTCGAGGGCCCCGTATCGGCATAACAGATGAGCATCCTCTCGAGATATTAACCATGTTTTGGGGCGTGGAGTTCGCCAGATTGTTATGTTCCTGTCTCGAGGATAAAAAGTACATGCTGTGCGTCTCCCCCTCTGCCTATACCGCGGGTTTCAGCAGAACCCGTAATAATATCACAAGATACATCTCAATAGGGGATCTCCCCACAGTGATCCAAATGCTTGGGGATGTCATGTTGGCGTTCGACCATTTCCCTGAGCCAACTCAAGCCTGGCAACATTACGATGCAACTGATTGCAACCGCGCACAGGACGTTGTGAGGCCGGTCAGAACGCAGAAATCCTGACTTCAGCTAACGTCAATGAATAGGTAATATCTACACAGCTGGATGTATCTATAAGAGAGCAGCTCCTCGACATTAGTAGGCAATGGATTCTGCGTAGAATGGGTTGCTACAAATCGGATGTTATTTTTGCATGGCTACAAAAAAAAAGAAGAAAAAAAACGTGCAGGTTCTGTGGCGGCATGCCACGCGAACGAGCCGGTCTACCGCGGGTGGCTGGACATAGATGAGAGTAACCAGGTTCTATTCCGGCTTTCAGGCGAGCCAAGAACATATAGCTTGGACTGTAGCCGCAAGAAGAGCTGGTTGAGGCGGGCGCTGCATGAGGGCGCGAACTGGTTGCCTAATATATATGTCTGCTCTCTGCTCCATAAAGAGAAGTCTCCGGAACAAGCTGCTCCAGCCTCTGACTGCTTTGATTCGTGCATGCCTTGCCCTGCCTTGGCCCGGTCCAACTCCAAAGTCAAGTCGGTCATTCCAAGGGAACATCCACTCGAAACGCCCCGAGCCTCATCTTGATATCGTCATTGTTGTCCCTGTGGATTCTTTGAGCAGGCACGGTGCACACTCTGCCTGCCCGCAACACCCAAGAGTTCCTATTATTACTAGCACATCCATTCAATCAGGTTCTTACCAGTCAGACCAAGGCATCCCACAGACCGTCTCACACATCCTGCTGCCTGCAGCTCAGTTTAGCCTCTGGCCCATTTCTTCAAGCACCACCGTATTTCTCTCCTGTCCTGGACCTCGCGCATCAGCCCACCAGGCCGCTCGGTACCCGTCACCTCGAAGGCACACACCCTCTCATCGACTATTTCAGACATCCTTTCCCATTTCCTCAAATACGAGCCATTCTGCGCTCCCTTTTCGGCTTTCTCTTCTTCCCTCGAGCCGGCTCCTACATTAAAACTTCCCCCTACCAACTCATCTCAACCCAACCCGTCATCGGTCCTCTACCCGCACCAGCCATCCTCATTAGACCCCTCAAAACCCTTGGCCTGTTTGCTTCTTCAAAGAGACACATCCCCTTCCTCTCTCCCACTGCATTTAATCACAGGAACTTTGTCTACGCTCCTTGCTCCTGAACTTCCATCTCCACCTTTGATACATTGATCTGCTGCAAGCATAATTCCTCCCACCTCAACTCCACATCATAAAATCTGTTAGCCATGGCCCCATCTTTGTATAACTCTGTCTCATCGGCTGGCTCCGAAGATCGCCCCTCCGCCCCGGTCCTCGTTCCTGCCAACATGCTTCGGAGACATCCTGCGTCCCTGATTGCCCGTCACTTGCATAGCCCCATACTTCTTGGCCTGCTCAAGGCGCCTGTCAATGATGATCTCATTGGTCAGTAGAGGCATGCCTCTACCCCTCAGCCTGTTGTCTACTAACGAACATTTTCTTATGTTGCTTAGAATACGTTGCTGAGCGGACTTTGGCAGTGGTCGCCACTCCCACGGATCCTGTCCAGCTACCGACGCCTCCCAGCACGCCTAACAAAGGGTCATTTCGCCTCCCTATGTCGCGTATTTCTCGTCAAACACTGTCGCCCGACTCACCTGGAAAGAACTCCTTAACCGTGCCAGACGCCCCCAACGGCTCGGCTGTCCCCTCTTTAACCACTTTTATCAAGCTCACCGCTCAACAATCCAACGCGCAAGCACCCACCTTGCTTGTGACACTGGTCTACCTTGATCGCTTGCGCCGCAGACTGAAAGGCGCTAAAGCTGCAAAGGGCATGCAATGCACATACCACCGTCTTTTCCTCGCATGTCTCATTGCGGCGGCCAAGTATTGTAACGATTGCTGTCCAAGGAACATTCATTGGGTTAAATGGAGTGGCCTTTTCACCCTCAGTGAAGTCAATTTGATGGTAAGCTTGCAGACGCGTTGATGATGTCACAAGTCGCTGATACGTGCTCTCTTACTGGTATAGGAACAAGAACTCTTGATGCTCCTAGACTATGAATTGCGAGTAGAAGAGAACTATCTTCTGGCCATGTGTGCTCCGTTCCTACCGTCGCCGCCCACACAGAAGCCAAGTCTGATGGACCGTCTGGCCCCGTCACTGACGTCGTGCGAAACTGCGCGTACCAGCTCAGCTGACAGCGATGAGGCGCCAGCGACGCCTTCGTGCAGTCCCATCGTTATTCGACTGGATACCAGACACGCCGCTTCACCCGATTCCGATAATCCTCACAACAAGAAGATCAAGATCTCGGAGGTGGCATCTAACTCAACTAGCATAGTGATCAAGCGGGCCAAATCGTGGTACGGCAACCTGCGTGCCTCGACTAACTTCTGACGGCGATTATTCCGCATACGTAAATATATATATTTTGGGCAAATGCAGACATCTCTCATCAACGCCGACGTTGTTGAGGATGATGGTCTTGTAACATTATCTCTCCTCTCCTGCGATAACTCTTATACAATTTCGTTTCTCTCTCTTTCTCGAACGCAAATCGCCTATTAACCCTTTTGACATCCATCTCATAATTCCTCTACGAACCTGATCTGTAGCACTCTTCATACTTTTAATCACTGGTTGAATCAGACCCGACCCAAAACCAGCTCGTTGTTTTATTTTATTTTTATGGGGAGAAGCAACTCGTCTATATCGCATGTGATTTTGAAAATCCTTGATATTTTGTAAATAGCTCCGTTGTTGATGTAAACAGTGTATTACCTTTTAGGTCTTGTTTCTCTTAATGTTCGCGGGGAAAGTCAGCTCGATACATGTTGAACTCGTTTTTTTCCATGAGTCTCTAACTCCATCTTGTGCAGTACCTGTTGCCAAAAATCTTGACCATAAATGATCGTGCTAATGCCACTGGGAGGTGCACCCTCAAGATAGCATCTTCCCCAGACAGTATTGAACTGTCAACCTCACGATGGAACTCTCACCGGCACTTCCCAAGTGCCGCGGCGTAACAGTCGAACGCGAATTGGTACGGTCAAGAAATAATGTCTGGTTCCATTCCAAAGATTTTCTTGGTGTGTTTGGGTCCATGATAACAAGAAAAAAAAGCTCATGGCCAGTTTCTCCACCATTTCCATTGCACTTGCATGCAAGTGCTTTCACATAACTTCAATAACCTGTTGTTAACTTCTGGGACATTGGTCTGAAGTACATTAAAAGTCAGGTTGAACTCAGGAATTTGGTTTTAAATTGTGCTGATTTCAAGCTCAACAATCCACCTGATGTATTGCCCAAGTCAAGCTTTTATCATCCTTCCAATATGGATAAGTCAGATCTTCATTTCACCTGCTAAAAAATCCTTATATATCTTTTTCTCATCCAATTTTTCTTGAAATTATATTTGAATTCTAAAATACTGTGAAGGATAATAAAGAAATTGATGTGATTCATTCTCAAAGACATATTTTTTGTGTTGAGATGATGATAACTCATATTAGCTATGATCACCATTTTATGACATTGATATTCTTTTTTAATTTTATTATCACATTGAGAATGTGGATAAAACCGTTGATACTGAGCCTCTATCAATTTTCAATACAATTCCATTAGAACTGTGAAAAAAATCATCCAGAGGCACCATTCAGCATCAACAGGCTCAATTACTCCTGACAACCCCAATCACGGAAGCTTAAAAAAACCAACACAACTCTCCCAAACAATAAAAATTTGGTAGACAAAA